AATGAGAGTGGGAAACCCAATCAATGTTTGTAGAACCATGAAGAACTAAGAACACTTGTGGACACTGAATACACAAGCTAAAAGAAAAATAAGAAACGAATCTTATTTTGAGAAAGACATAATCTCATCCCTGAACCAGGACAAGGATAAGAGACATAGTCAAAGAGATGGGAGGTGGAGAGAGGAGCTGAGTGGGGACTACAAACCCACTGCATCACCGGTGGTCCACATCAGTCTCACAAAGTTAAAAGGCTCAAGTTCAAATCTGGTTCCTTCTTCTCCCCATCACAGTCCAAAAGCTTCCTGGCCAAACTGGGAGCCAGGCATGTTCCCGATATTCCAAGAGTTTGAAAGGATTTCCCTCCACAAGGTCGAGACAGAATCAGAAAACTCCAAGACCATGTCAGGACAGCAGCTGGCACACGGTCCGAGCTCACCTTCCTCAGCATGTCATTCTGCTCCACGCTGTTGATCTTGCCGGGGCTGATCTCTCCTTTCAGGGTGTATTCGAAGAACTTCCCGCTGACATTCACTAATAAGGTGCTGAAGGCCCTATCTTCCTGAGTGCAGCTGAGTGACTTGTCATGACCACTGGTGGCAGGGGTGCCGTACCTCAGGATCACCCCGACGATGAGCCCTGAAACAGAGTGGAAGAAAACGTCAGGCCTGTGGGAGGACAGAGAGAGCGTGGAAGTAATGGCAACGACTAAGAAACTCAGAAGGAATCTTAGAGACCAGGCAGAGGGTGTGCATTTCAGGAACAACTACACAGTCCTTCAGAGGGGTTAAGCTTCTATCTATTCCAGGGTGAGTCCTGCAGCCCCCAGGAGGACGAGGTAGGACTGTACCTTTCACAGTTAGGATGGGACTCTAAGTAATTTTAACCACTGATCATGTCTCATTTCTCAGGCTTTTGGCGGAGGAGGATGGAGTGATCAGAGTGAGACAGGAGGGAAAGGGGCAGGGCACAACCACTGATGGAATGACAGCAACTGAGGACAGGACAAACTGATTAGAACCAAGATGGCGGAAGATTTGACTTCCAGTAGACCTTGAGCCCCATGGGGCACCCACAGGTGTCATGACAGCTCCAAGGCTGACCATAAAAGGCCCCAAAGTGGGCGGGGCCCAATTCCTGGGAATCCCCGCCCCTTCCCCAACATAGTTGGAATAATCATCCTACTCTTAAGCACATGAAATTACCAAGCCCATAAAAACTAACAACTCCACACCTCATGGTGGCTCTCTCTCTTGCCTTCTGAGACTGCCCGCACTCTGTCTATGGAATGTGTATCTCTCTAAATAAACTTGCTTTCACTTTACTATGCCTCGCTCTTGAATTCTTTCCTGAGTGAAGCAAGAACTTGCTCTCTAGCAACAAGAGGCCAAGTTTTTTTTCTGCCCAGCACAGCACACGGCAGAACTGCTGAGCTCTTCGATTTGCACCAGCAGCTTCCCTCGGGCCAGTCCTGCCACCATCCACCAGCGATGGCAAGGCCACGGGGATTTCTAGTTGCTACAGATGCAACTTGTTTTGCCACACACCAGAGGAAGGAAAAAAAGAAAAAGAAAAAAGAAATGCCTTTGCTTAGGTCATTTCAAGTACTGGGTATCATGGAGAAAAACAATTATATCCCCTAGGCAGCTAAACACCACAGTGCAAATTTTCACAGTCATGATTCAAGGACTGTAGAGCTGGCTGCTGGGGACTGTGGCATTGATACAGCTAGCATCATTAGCTGCAAGTCTTAACATTTCATTCCATTCTTAGTAGTGTTTTCTCTTTAGGAAAAAAAAACAGCAAAACGATGTGTAAGCTTTCAATTCCATGAGTGAGGAGGGAGGGTCGCTCCCCTGGTCCTGGACGTGAGTCACACGTGCCCAAGTAAAAGTGAGCGAAATGTAAAAAAAAAAAAATAAATAACCACCAGACTCTTTCTACAATTCTCTCTTAGGAGGAAGATTTCAGACTTCTTTGTTCGGTTCTTTGTTAGCAGTATTGAAAGACAGAATGGTAAAATGCTCGCCCCTCCCATTTTGCCATTAATGGAGAAAGTTATATGAGAAAAAGAACAATGTCTATGTATAACGTTCTACAATGTCACCAAGACATATGAGAACTAACAAGACATTGTTGAAGAACAAATAATATATAAAATCCTTCTAGCTTTTATATATTATTTTTCTAAATACAGTTCTTTAAGCCAAACTTTGTCTATATTGCATTATTATTATTATCAAAGACTTGTGTTAACATACTTTAAACTATGTTGACTTTTGTGAAAAAATAAAGTTGTAAAATTTTACTGCAAATTAAAAATGAGGTTCTTAATCATCGCAACTTGAGAGCTTGGTCTCTGCCATCTGGAAGCTATATATATGGTGTACATTTGGCAGCCAGTCGAATAGACTGGGATTCCGAGCAGTCTGGCTTGGCTGTTGCCAACTCTCAGGGAAGTTTGTCATAAGTGGTCCCAGCCCCTAAAGGACCTCTGTCATCTTCACCTTTGTTGCGTCTGCCTGTACAACGAAGGCTCTTTATTTTCTCAGACTATTTTGGGGAGTAAATGTTCCACATCTTGTGAAGGCTGCATCCTTTGCACTCTCCTGTGGGGATGCCTCCTGCATCTCATTCTTTGAGTCACTAATAAGATATAGCTCATCAATGGCCAGACAATGGGTCCTTTAAATTGGAGAAACTTCCAAATTGGTACATTTTCAGAGAGCTCTCATTATTAACAGCTGTTTTATTGGTACTTATGAAAAAAACAAATGAGAAGGTGAATAAAATACATATATATTATATATATGTATATGCCAACCTAATGAAACAGAAAAGAAGGGGGCAGGGCACAGCCATTCGAAGAATGACACAGCAATTAACACCAAAATGGTGGAAGATTCAACCCCTAGGAGGCCTTGAGGCTCAAGATGGTGGGAGCTTTGACTTCTAGTAGACCTTGAGCTTCATTATACGCTCATTGTAATATTAACATGGTAAGTGACACTCCCACAGGGACCATGACAGCTTCGAGGCTGACCATAAAAGGTCAAAGAGTGGGCAGCGGCCCAATTCCTGGGAACCCCAACCCCTTCCCCAGGGTAGTTAGACTGGTCCTTCCACTTGTTAAGATATGAAGCTACCGAGCCCATAAAAACGCAACACCACGCCTCATGGCCGCCTCTCTTGTTTCCTCCTCTTCAGAGACGGCCCGCACTCTGTCTATGGAATATGTACCTCCTTTTACTTTAATGTGAGCACTCAACCCCCACACCCCGTGGCCTTTCTCTCTCCTTCTGAAACAGCCTACACTC